GAGGAGCGAGACCGGGTGTTGGAAGATTGAAGAGGCATCTTCAGAGGGCCCATCAAATTATGAAGAAACAAGCTTATATATATCAGAAGGACATCCAATTTGAGATAGGGGAAAGGGTGTTCTTAAAACTCTGACATTACAGGTAGAAAACAATCACCAACAGGAGAAATGAGAAGCTTGCACCTAGGTATTTTGGGCCATTTGAAGTATGGGAGAAGATTGAAAAAGTAGCATATAAGCTGAAATTGCCATCCTCAGCAACCATACATCCTGTTTTCCATGTCTCACAGCTAATGAGGTCTATTGGGGAGCATGCAGCCAATTCTGAGCTACCAATGATACTAATAGAGGACTTGGATGTGATGTTGGAACCCTTTTAGTTACAAGGGGTGAGTCAAGGGGAGGGTAGGGTAAAGGAAGTGTTGATCAAGTGAAAGGATCTTCTAGATTATGAGGCGACATGGTAGCTTTATGAGAGGGTGAAGCATCAGTTTTCTTCCTTTCACCTTGAGGACAAGGTATTTCTTTGTGAGGGCAGTATTTTTAGGCCGGTTCTCACTAAACTGGCCCAATCGGCCTTAAGGGGACTGGCTCTGGTTTACAAGAGGTGGACAAAACCGCCCCCATAGGTTTGCCTCCCAGGCCATGTGGACCCTACTAGGCTAACCAATTAGGGAAGGAGAGGGGGAGCAGCTAGGATTGGGAGGGAAAGATGAATTAGGAGTTTGAAATTAGGTAATTAATGTATAATATATGAGTCATTTAGGGTTAGGGCATGCTTTGTTTTGTGGCTGATTCGGAGTTCTTATTCTTGGTGTCTTGGGCCCAAGATTTGTCTAGGGATTGAGAGAGAACGATCGTCCTCTTGAAATAAGGATTAATTGTATGTTGATTTATTTCTTCTGTTAATTTGATATTATTAAAAAAAAATCACTGTTTTGTTGTTCTTTCCTTTGGATTTGTGGAGCACTTTGTTGTTTTTGTCTTTATTGATAGGATTTACTTGAAATCTTCAAGTGTATCCTATCAGAGGTCTCTGAGTATACATCAAGTTTGAATACTTTGTTATCATATGCATATGATTCCTATAGGGATGTGTAATCTTCTTTTTTTTTTATGCATCTTGTTTTCTCTTAGAGTTACGGCCCAACATTTAAAATGAATGAAACTTGTTTGGATTTTATCTAAGTTGTGTATGTTCATTCTTTTATTTTTGAAATTGATTTCGAGATATTTTTTTCTTCCTTTCAATCTTAAACTTCTTATGACTATGTTCAAAAAGAATTTTATGATGTCTAAGAACCTGAAGGATCCCTAGATTTATATGACTGAATATTCTTTATACGAGCTCTTCCCTTCCAAAAAATATTATTCCCTACTTGATTGAAATCCCAATAAATGATTTTTCTTAATTTTTTTAAGATTTGCATAATGATAATGATTTAATGAGTAAAAATGCATCAAAATTTACTTCAATTCTCAATTGAAGATTCATGTTAATATCACTATGATCGAACCACCAATCTTGCATGTAACTCTCTTTCCCAAATACAAGAAAGTGTTAGAAGTTGTCTTCTCCAATTAGAACATATGCGACATAAACAACTTGAGTAAAAAATTCACAACTATTTATAGCTCTCTCCATCAAACACCAATAGTCACCAACTAAGCATCGTCAGGAAACATGAGTTATTTTATCATGTCCTCAAGCTTCTCACTCATCTCCAATAAAAGAAGTAAATTATTAATATCTTCTAAACTTATGATATCATGTCCAAAACAATAAGGTGTCTAAGAAGTGGTTGCAAGGAGGTAAATACCGCAAAACAAAATATTTCATGCTTATTATCATCAATCACATTAATTATTCTTAAAGCTTAAAGGATAAAATTGAACAAATTCTAATCTTATTTAATCAAAATACCTGTTCTTAATCCCATGAGCTCAAATAACTCATATGTGGCTTATTAGTAATTTGATGATAATAAACATTTTTGTAATATCATATGATGGCTTTCTAAGCATTCTAAAGTTCAAACAAATATTATCTAAAATATAGGAAAGATGACCTATTCCATTTGATGCTTAGATAGTTTGTAACTTCAAGATGAGTAATGCTTGGTGGATTAAAATATTTCAAGGAGATATGCTTAAGGAGACTAATAAATAGTAGCTACCTTCCCCTCCTACCATGCACACTTCCTACCCTTGTTGTTCTGTGTCCATTCTGAAAAAAGCAAAGTTTGAACCTTTACTGGACTACCTTTCGTGACTATCCCAACATCACTGCCAGTGCATCTCTTCAATTTGTACGTGTCTTTTTTTTTTTTCCTTTTTCATACATATGATGGTTGGCCGCTGCTAGGATCCCTTCATTAGCTCTCTATTCCTTAGTTGTCGGATGGGTTACCCGAAGACCGATTTCTTTTATTTTTTCTCTTGGCCACTGGAAAACCTTTCGATCTTGATAACAGGACATCTCTTGTACTAATGTCTCATTTTGACGCCTAACTTCAAAAATGAGGTGTGCAACAAAGAGTTAAAAAACCCCATCTTTTCATTTATATACCACTAATTAAGATTTTTTAAGATTGCGGTCAACTAACCGGTAATATAACCGAGCAAAAACTTCCTTAACTGATAATCAAGTGATTGGAATAAGAAGTGATTCAACAATCATATGGGTGTCAAAATATGTCCATCAGAATGGGTGAAAGAGAACTGCCTTGTGATATGCCCTTTTCAATAGCGGAGTCGCCCTTTCAGTCTTTATCCATTCTATCTGTAGTAAGGAGAGCATGAATAATATTGCTTTGATCATAATATTAAAAAGAAGATTCAAGGCTAAAAGAGGACACTCTTTCCAAGATGTTTTGGTTTGCACTAAACTAGCCATCTCTCTCACTATTACATAAAAAAGATAGACGACTACCTTCGTGGGATTACACCATTTCGATAAAGCAAGTAAAGCATTAGAAACGCCCCATATGAATGTACTGAAGGTCTCTTTGGTTCGTTGTCCAGGGCATAATGGGATAATGAGAGGAACATAGAAAGAAAAAGATACTTTCTATTACAGTTAGGTAATGAACTCAAATATTTATATATATATATCCTGCAAACAATCCATCTTGAGTAGCTTCTCATAAGAACAATAAATGGATTTACATAAAGTTCACTCGTTGGTAGATGAGTCACGACTATATCCTTATTAGTCATAGTCTCTTTCTGACAAAACTAAAGATCCTCAACATTGATGTGCTTCTAACTACCATCAAACAAACTTTCAAACTGGATCTATAGGGAGATATATATAGTCACTCTCCATTGACGCAACAGGGTAACAAAATTTTGTTGCATCTAGCGCCTTTTTCAAAATCCAGTTCACTTCAACAAGTTGGAGCTAGATGCTTCTCAAAGCCGTGATACAATTATGCAACTCACTAGGCCCTCATGGCCCACATACACAGGTACATCTTGCTGGATCGGGAGATCGCATTTCCTCCAAACAAGAAGAAAAAAGGGAAAGAGGATCCAAGGCTATCTTTACTGCTACTCTAAAAAGCATCTATTAAACCTAACACCCTCATCGGCATCCTGGTAGCATAACAAACAAATAGCACTATGTCCCCTTTAGACACTAAAAAAACCCTTGAATGGTTCACCATAGAGTTCTACCAAGATCATTAAAGCCACGACATTCATAAATATGTCATGGCATTCCAAAGAAACTATATACATGAGACAAGCCATCGCATGGGCAAACGCGACCCTAGTAACAATCACCTTTACCTTTGCATAATCCGTCTAAGGACACTTTCAATCACACAACTCCTAGTAGTAATGGTTCAATCAATATGCTAAGACACCTTCCTAATAGATATAAATCTACGCCTCAAGATAGACGAAAAAGATGCTAAAGGAAAGAAGGACCCTTCACCATCTATCCCATCCATTTGAGTGACGGCTATGAGGTTATCCTAGAGACACACATAGCAAATATGCACTGTTTTGAGTGACAAGACTGCAAAAAAATTTCTTCTTAGTCAAAAGAAACTTAGGAGAATTATCCCCTTGTTCAAACTCAAACACGAGAACTCTTGCCAGATATGGGGTTATTGGAAATGCTCTCCCACTAACGTTTGTAACTATGGGCACACTCACAATAACCAACTACCAGAGGATACTCCCACTAACTGCAAGCATAACATCAAATTTGACCATCTCATTAGATTCACCCTAAAAAATGACCATTCAACTAAGCCAATATAGCAGTAATTCCCATTCATTTTCTCTCTTTTTCCAAAGAAAAAAAAAGGTATAAGACATTTAAAAATTCTAAAGGTAATAGTATTGATTTTTATAAAAGAAAAGGGCGCTCAACACCTTTATAACAATATGGCAAGGGATGAAGATGCAAGTCACGGAATCCCATGTTCTCAAAGTTCTTCAAATCAAGCTTGTGACCCGTCAACTAATGATGGGACCCTTTTGCATATCTCTAATAAGAAACCCATGTGACATACAAGTCATAGTGTGCAAAGTGTCTAATCTATTCACTCATGGTTTCATAGGTATTGGAGTGCAAAGTCTCAAACAACGCACTCGATCAACCAGAGTTAGAGAATGGACTCATAGTCACTATTTAAGACAAACAATATATGCACAGGGAGGTCGTCATACCTATCCAATGACTCTAGGTGTTTGATTTTCAATAAGAAGTCTAAAACTACACTACGAAGATATCCATTGTCTTTTAGAATATTAGAAAAACTTTCAAAATTAAGTTCGTGATACATTTTTTTATGGAATCTGTCGGCTGAGTGTGGTCATCCAATGTTGCTTTTTTGGGAACACCTGAACATCGTGACATTCCTAGTGTCCCAATATAAGGATTCATGTATATTGCATTTGATGCATTGGATTCCATTGTGTTTTTAAATCCAATAACGTTTTTTTAACTATCAAACTTTATCCAGACAACAGGCAATAAGGGAAACCTGAAAGGCAGAAGTTCCTGCTCCGAAAACAAAATCCGCAGGGAAATCGTCTCTGGTGAACTCGGAAAAGCACGGAACTGAGTAATAATGCTCCCAAAACAATAGAAGCACCGCCAATAGCTCCGCCACCTTCGCCATCTCAATAAGCTTTTTCTTCTCCCCTTCTCCTTTGAAAGCTAACTTTTTGAGTTCTCACTTCCAATTTTGCAGTAACTCTGAGCTCCTGCACTTCATTTTATATTGAAGCACTTGGCCCCATACCATAAAATAATGAACTGCGCAAACCACTTTATTTTATTTTAGCTCTCGCTAACATTTATACATAACATTTCCCCGAAAAAAAATAAAAAAAAAAACTTTTATTCATAACACGAGGAACTCATGGCAGCAGTTTCGCACCCTACCTAACACCAAGGCAATGGCGATAAATTTTATCACAGTTTTTATTGCAATTTTTTTTTTATTTTGTATCGATAAATGAAATAACTATTTATAAATTGCTTTTATTTTTGGACAATGATAGACAATTTTTTTTTGTACTATGTGGAATTTAGTTATTTTTAAATATTATAGTATGTTATATTAATGGTCATCAAAAAATATTATTTTGATTAGATATTAATCTCGAGATATGTTTAAATTAAAAAAATTCACAACTAAATTCAAAATCAACCTAACTCTAATTTCAGCAAATTTATAATTGAGTTGAATGATTGGACGAGATGAATCCAACGACATTAAAAATTGTTGAACCAAATCATGGTTCTGAAATGTAATTAAAAATATCATGAATTAATTAGATAGCTAAATAATCTCCAATTCTGACATGATTATGTTAAAATCGAGCCACTCTCCTAGATAAATCCAAGGGAGTAAAAAATTGCATCATTACGACATCATAAAAACTCCTAAATGCTAAACAACTAAATTATGATCAATGAAATCAATGTGGGTTGTCTTATAGAGTGTTCCAAATATTCTACATATTTACAGATGTAAATCTCAAAATTTTATAAATAAGTTCACTCTCTACATGAATGGGTGGAGCTTGGAGCTAGAGCATAAACTCTCTCTATCTCTCTCTCTCTCTCTCTCTCTCTCTCTCTCTCTCTCTCTCTCTCTTTCTCATTATTTAGGAGAGCTGCAGGCCTTTAAAGATCTCATAGCACTACCCACGCACCACCACTAGGCCATCGCTCAAGTGTCATTATCGAGCCTCTGCCAATCTAACCATCATAATCCTCAAACTACTATCGCATGACAACAGTACTTTGGATCTCCATTGCCCATTGATTATGAACCTAGGATTATCATCATCCGATTATGCTCCACTATTAAGTGAAACCAATGTAGTATTTTTTTATCATAATTTCAGTAAAAAAAATATTATATTTGGTTGATACTGTGCGGGAATTACTCAGGAAATGGATAAAAATTCTCAAATGTTGAACTAGCGCCACAACACCTAAACAATTAGCGATGTAGCGTTATCAACACCACAACACTACATCAGGATATTGTAGCTCTGGCGCCTCAAAAAAATATCAATTAATTCAGCACCTTGATGAAACAAAGGTTAGTGTCACGGTGCTTCACAGTATTGTAATGTCATAGCAGGGCATCACAACACCAAAGTCTCAGGAAATTGAGCACCAGAGTGCTAAACTATACAATGTTGCAGCGCTGTTTAACACATTTTAGCATCATAGTGCTCAACTTTGTTATGAGAGTTGCTACTTAGCTTTGCATGTTTTACATTATTGTAACTTGTATGTTTTTTATGATTCCAAATATTATTATTTTGATTATTATTTTCTCCTAACACATTTAGAAAGAATTGTTTTTCTCTTGTGTGTACTAACATTTCAGGGAAATTATACTCCAGATTGTTGAAGACTTAAAATCAAATTTTGTTTAGAATTATTGTATTTTGATGTATGTATTTTTCATTTTATTGAGTCTGAGAGAGTGTGATTGTAATTGAGTAATTGATCGTACAGTACGAACCCTGTTTGTATGGGATGATCTGGTCAGTTATATTCCCTAATGAGCAATGGAACGAATAGTGAGGGTTAAAATGTTTCTAAGTATAGATCGTACGGATGATATTTTCCATTTGTCCTAGGACGATCTTCACTATTTTTTTGCCAAATGTGAAGATCGTACGGAAAATATTTTCCATTCGTCCCAGGACGATCTTCTCTGGATTTTCCAAATGTGAAGTTCGTACAAACGATAATTTCCATTCGTCCTAGGACAATGTTTTTTGGATTTTCCAAATGTGAAGTTTGTATGGACGATAATTTCTGTTCATCCAAGGATGATCTTCTCTATTTTTGGAAAATACACAGTTCGTCCAGACAATATTTTTCGTTCATCCTAAAATGATCCCCTCTGGTTTTTCAAATACACAGTTCATTCTAACGATAATTTTCAATCGTACCAGAATGAAGGGCTCTATTTTGTATACTTGTAGTTCGTCCTGACTTTTCGTACCATCGAACTTTGAAAAATAACTGTTAGTATCTGACAAACCTAGTTCGTACGGGACGATGATCGAGTACGAAGGTAGTTCGTACCGATTCACATTGATTTCATACGCAACAGTTTTTATACTGTTCGTACGTATGAATTACGATTGTATGAGATGATCGTGGACGGTCAAATTTGAAAAATGTAGTTTTCTGGACGATTTTTTGTGTCTTTTCTATAAAAGATCCACTTTAGACTGTCATTTAATCTTTTTGTCACTTGGTATTCATGAATGGAAAATAAAAATTGAAGGAGAGAGTTAGAGAGAGTGTTTGAAAGAGATTTCTTCCTATTGGAGAGCGAATGGTTCACTTGGTTACTCAAGGGTAAGGATCTCTGTGTGTATTTTGTGTTTACTTCACTCTTCTCTCCGGTCCTTCTAGATTTGTAATGTGAAGATCTTTTAAGAAGATCCGGTTCTCTGCCGACACTCGAGAAGTGTGAACAGCTGAAGGTTCTTTGCCTACACTTGGAGAGTTTAAACAGCCGAAGGTTCTCTACCTACACTTGGAGAGTGTAAAATGATGAAGGTTCTCTGCCTACATTTAGAGAGTGTAAATACCCGAAGGTTCTCTGCTTACACATGGAGAGTGTGAAAGGAAGAAGGTTATCTGCCTACACTTGGAGAGTGTAAAATACCGAAGGTTCTCTGCCTACACTTGGAGAGTGTGAAAGGATAAATGTTCTCTTCCTACACTTGGAGAGTGTGAACAGCCGACGGTTCTCTGCCGACACTTAAAGGGTGTAAAAGGATAACAGTTTTCTACTGCACCGGGTAGTGGTGGAAGAGAGTTTTGTGAAGGTTTCTCCGGCTTGCTGTGGGGGCAAAAAAAGAGACACTAATAGTAATAGTACAATACCTGAAGTGAGAGACTTCAGGGAGTGGATGTAGGTCGTGTTTGACCGAACCACTATAAATCTTTATGTCTTTTTATTTCCGCTCCTTTAATTTCTGTCATTTTATTTTTTTTATTTTAAAACTATTTTTGAAAATTCTAAAAACAACTTGCTTAGTTTCTTAAAACAGTTTCAAACTTTTAAATTTCAATAAGAGGCAAATTTTTAAAAGTACCAATTCACCCCCCTCTTAGTTAGCCTTCGGGACATAAGCTTAGGTTTAACAACCTAACTCATATTCAACAGGTTTCAACAAGTGGTATCAGAGCTTTGTTTCAAAATCATAAGTTTAGACTACTTTTTGATTAACGACTATGGCTATATTTGGAAATCGAAACACACTAGAAGGTTACTCTATAACTAGACCTCCCTTGTTTGACAATATTCCTTTCTTTTTTTGGAAAACACACATGTTAATATTTTTATAGTCACTAAACTATCGTATGTGGATCTCAGTTCAAGAAGGGTATACAAAACAAACTAGATTAGTTGACGGAGTTAGAGTTAAAATTTCCTTTGCAGACTAGACTGTAGAACAACGTGAACTAGCATAACATAGCGTGAAATATTTGAAGAGTTTCTTTTTTGCACTTAAATTTGAAGAATTCATGCGGGGTTCCACTTGTAAAAATGGAAAGGACATATATGATAAACTTTATATAACCTATGAAGGGATTAACAAAGTTAAACAAACCAGACTTAATATCTTATTGTATGACTATGAATTATTTCATATGAAACCCAATGAATCTATTTCTGACATGTACACAAGATTCACATAAATAGTCACCTCTTTAAATGCATTGGGTAGGGAAATAATGAATGCTGAAATGGTTAATAAGATACTTCGTTGTTTTCCTACAACATATGATAGTAAGATAACTATAATTACAGAGTCTAAATACTTAAATGTATACTCTATTGACAATCTTCTTGGATCACTAATTGCTTATGAGCAAGGTGTGAGTCAACAAAAAATTGATGCAGGAGAGCCATAAAAGAAGAAGAACATTACATTAAAGGTGGATAGTTATCTATCTGTACCCGAGGATGAGGATGGCATTGCCTTAATGACTAGGCAATTTAGGAGCTTTCTGAAGAGGAGGCAGAAGAGATGCCAATAATGGAATAGAGGTAAGTTCAATAAAAATGTTAAGGTTTATAATGATATGATTTGCTATGAGTGTAGGAAACCTAGACATGTGAAGTCAGAGTGCCCAAACTCAAAGCCACTCCTAGCAAAGAGAAGGTAGAGGAGAAACCAACTGTGAAGAAGGACAAGAAGAAATTTCGAAGAGCTTTCTGAGCGGACTCAGGTTCGGACTCGTCAGAGACTGGAAAAGAAGAAGAAGTCATCAATTTATATTTGATGGCTAATAATCTTGATTAATCATATCAAGAAGAGGCACGCTCTCAAACAAGGCCTCATGAGAGCATATGGTATATGGATAACGGTTGCTCAAGGCATATGACTGGACATACTAAGCAATTTATATCGCTGGAAGCCAAAAGTGGAGGCAGGGCTACACTTGGAGATAACACCATAAGGAAGGTGGTTTGATAAGGTATGATTAAAAATCTTGAGAATTTTTTTATTGAGAATGTGCTACTAGTTGAAGGCTTAAAGAATAATCTTTTAAGTATAAGTCAGCTATGTGGTAAAGGATACATCATCAAATTTTTTTTCCTACTAGCTGTATATTAAGCCTAAATGATATTGATGTTTTGCATGGTTTAAGGGTAAATAATATTTATATGCTAGATATAAATTATATCAAAACTCTTATTGCTTTTTGTTTGAAAATAATTTCTGATGAGTCATGGCTTTGGCATATGAGATTTTATCACTCTAGCATGAAAAATCTAAGGAGAATTATTCAAAAGAACTTAGTCAGAGGTATACCAAAACTAGACTTTACTAAGGACCACCTTTCTGATGCTTGTCAACTAGGAAAACAGGCGAAGTCCTCTTTTCAGTCCAATAAGGA